AAAGACCTGGCCAGTGTGGCTCCGTGGTTGAGCGTCGACCCATGCACCAAGAGGTCACCAGTTCGATTCCCAGTCAGGGCACATGCCCAGGTTGTGGGCCCAGTACCCAGTGGGGACATGCAGGAGGCGGCCAATCAATATTCTCTTTCATTGATGTTTCTGTCTCTCTCTCCCTCTCCCTTCCTCTCTCTCTAAAAATCAGTAAAGAAGTTTTTTTTAAAAAGACCACTAAAAGCAAATCATTTCCGACAAGGAATAAATAGCTTACCCAGCATCACCTGAAAGAACCGCTGGAACATACACAGCACTGCGGCCGAGACCAGCTCAGGGAGCACACTGCTCAGCCCCTCTGCAGACACCACTGCACCAATCCGGCACCAAACCAGTACGCAGAACAACCGGATGCCATCTTGACGAGATGGAACTTGGGAAAATTGAGCATCTCTGTCAGTCACCCAAGCAGGAACAGAGTTATTAAAGAGAGTATGTTCATTGCAGCACTGGACTCAAGACCAAGTTTACCAGGTTGAACTAAATTTTATTTTTTAGCAGCTGAGATAGTAGATCACATATATCTGATATATTTGCCGCATTTTCTTTGCACATTTGAGCTTTCTGAGGGTAATTCTAAACCTTGCTTCAAAATAATCAATGGCTGTGACTGAATAAAACATGGTCTGCCAATTCTGTGGAACATTTTACAGCAGATTAAAGTAGATAGCTGTATACAAAGAGCAAGCAAACAACTGACCCAGAATTCATTCTTGTATTGGCTCTGTGTTTCACATGTGTTCACTTATTTCATCTTCCAACAATCCTGTGAGGCAGGTTCTATTGGCGTTCTCATTTTACATAAGAGGAAACTGATACACATACATTAAGTTGTCTTCTCAAGATCCCCTACTAATTAGCGGTGAAGCCCAGACAAGAAAAATCTCTAAAGCATACTGGTGAGTGAGAAAGGCAATTTACAGAATGGTACATACAGTATAGCATTAATAAAAGATACATGCACAACCCAACATCATACAACTTTTATCCATAAATGACTGGGGGAAAAAATATATTAAATTGGTAATAATATCCTCCTCTAATAGCAGGAAGTTTTTCCATAGGAAGGAGTGCTGTCAAGGAACATTTTAATCTTATCCGTAATGTTTTCACTTTCCACACTAACAATACAGCGATGTGCTACTCATGTTGCTAAAAGTGATCATTTATATGATATTAAAAATGGCGGTTTCAGAGTATGATAATAAGTAATGCTCTCTTATTGTCCACTTTATCTGAAATACATTTGTATTATAAGAAATTATAAGAAAATACAAGCATATGTGTAGGATAATGTTGAAAGTTAATAAATTAACATTGTTCATCCTACCATCACACTGGATATCAATGGACTGATTTTTAATCATGCAATAGTAATTAAATAAGGATTAATGGTATTCTCTCAAGAACACCAACATAAACAAACGTAGTTACTTAAGACAAAAATGAGCAGTAAATGATTGAAATTAAAATGCCTAGCATTACTTACATATATAAGGATGTCTCATTTTAATATATTGAATAATGTTAGCCACAATCAAAATTATTTTTTCTTGATTTTTTTTCAAAGATAAATTAAACCCTGACTTTGGGCTATATTGATAAAGGCCTTTAAACTTGAATAGCATATTGGGACAAGATAGGACATCTGAAAATGGCACCCTATTAATTTGGAAGGTAATTCCATCATATAATTACACAATCTCTCTTCGTATTTCAAACCCTGCCACAAACAAACAAAAATGACTACTGCAGGAAAGAGAATTAATGATGCTGTCCTCCCCAAGGCCTGAAGGATCAAAGCACTTATGTTCTACGGGAGGAGAATCCATTGCTCATGACCAGAGAAACACAGTTAACCAAGGGTTAAACACTCGAGTGTTAATCTTGTATGTGTCTGTACAGCAGAGAACGTGTGTGTGTGTGTGTGTGTGTGTGTGTGTGTGTGTGTGTGTAAATCATTATCTGTAGCTCTGACACAGTACCGTTCTTTCAGCCTGAAAAGATTAGTCATTCTGGGAGTGGTGTGGAAGAGGGAATGCCACCTGTTTTGCAGGATAACAGACTGCTGTAGCCTGTGTGCAAGGCCACACTACGCACAAGCACATCACCTGTCAACAGGACCCGATAAATCATATTACCACTGATCCTAAAAGAATCACTGCTGTCCCATAATTTTCATATAAAATGACATGCTTCAGGGAAATGTGGTATAAAGTGTTCACCTTGGGCACCCACCTTGGAGTCGGGGTATCATATCTGATTAAGGATACCATTGAACAGCAGTTGAACGGAGCTGCAGGGACACCTGTGCAACAGCCAGGTGTGTCAGTATTCAGTACTTCAGAGGGGCTGTTTTGGCAGGTGTTGTCTATGTTGTTTGTGTGTGGCAGGCCCACACCTGAAGGAGGATGGCAGTTCCACGCTAGTGTGACCTCAGCATCCTGCACATAAAATCTTCCCTAACCCCATGCCTATTACACTGACCAGATTGAATTAGGCAGTTGTCATTCCCTCCACAATACACAGCAAATGCAAGAAAAAAATATTCACATGGAAAGAATTTCATCAACTATAACTGCTTTTTTTCCCCTTTCCCTTATCACTAGCCATTCTCACCACTCACTGGTTTGAAAATTAACCCCTTAGCAATGTGCTGTAACTGAACCTGGTGGTGCTTTGGGGAAACACAGATCCAAAGCTGATAATTCATCTTCAGATAATACATGATACACCTCTGCAGTTTATCAGTGTTTCAAAGTACAAAAGTTTAAGAAATTTCTGTTAAAATGTGTCTAGTATAATTAAGGAAGGGAATCGTGAACTTCGTATCTTTCGGGGTTTCTGGTGTGTTCATGAATCTGACATAAATTTATCATAGACTTTCACCTGCTGACGTTTCTACCACTTGAAGCACACAATGAAAGCACCCATTCATAATACACCAGCTTTTCACTCTTTATGTGTTTTTTTTCTTGTACTATTTAACTTTACTATAAGAAGTAATGTAAAAATTATTTAAGGTGCCCTGGCCGGTTTGGCTCAGCGGTTAGAGCGTCCGCCTGCGGTCCGGAGAGACCCGGGTTCGGTTCCCGCTAAGGGCACGTACCTCGGTTGCAGTTTGTCCCCGGCCCTGGTTGGTCGTGCGGGTGGAAGCCACTCGATGTGTCCCTTTCACATCGATGTTTCCCTCTCTCTCTCTTCCTCTCTCTCCCTCCCACTCTGTCTGTACAAAAAATGAAAAAAATGTCCTCGGATGAGGATAAAAAAAAAAAATTATTTAAGGTTTCTATTCAACTATTCATTCTTATATTTTGCCCCTTAATCTCATTTCTCTCTTACTTTTTAGATTATATTTATTGGGGTGGACATTGGTTAATTATATAGGTTTCAAGTGTACAATTCTATGATACATCATCTGTATATTGCATTGTGTGCCCACCACCCAAAGTCAAATCTTCTTCAGCCATACATTCGATTCCCCTCTACTATACCTCCCACCCCCCTTCTCTCTGGTAACCAACACGCTTGTCTGTGTCTTTGTTTGTATGTTTTGTTTCTTCACTTGCTATTTTCAGTTTTATACCCCACATATGAGTGAAATCATATGGTTCTTGACTCTTTCTGTCTGACTTAGTTTGCTAAGCATGACATTCTCAAGCTCCATCCATGTTGTTGCAAATGGCAGTATTTCATCTTTTCCTTGGCTGAGTAGATACAAGACCTATCAGGCAAATTAAGTTATTTGCTACAAGGGCATTATGACAGTAGATATTGCCATTGGTATTGATAGTTTCAGTGTTCTTGGAAGACCTGCTAGTGCATTTTGCATTACCCTTCCACCGGGCTGATAGTTAAAAACTGCTACTATATCTAAGCACTATTTAATCAGAATGTATTTTTTTAACTATTCAGAAAAAACTTTGAGATTAACAGAAACTAGAGAACTGATTTTTCTTTTAAATTAAAAATTATATATAATTACTTTTAATTGTATACACATATAATCCTTTTGTAGAAACTCAATTTTCATATAGTGTTTTCAGAATGATTTAGCTAAATGTGTGTGTGATAAGTCTGAAATAAACTCTCATTGGAAATGACAGTATAATGTCAACTTTGGAAATTTTAGATGAGAAATCACAGACCTGGGTTTGAATCCCAGCACTGTCACTTTCTAGACGAGTGAGCCTAGTCATAATCTCCCCAATTCCCTTTTCTCATCTGAAAAATGAAGATCATAATAGCTCCTCGCTCATCGTCAGCACCCACTTCAGGTAGTCTATAGATGGGCAAGTCTTTTTTAGGGGAGCAAAGGTTAAATTCATTTGCATAGAACCTTTCCCAGTAATGAGAAAGTTTCAATGCTATGGGGAATTGAAGAAAAAAAAAATGGAGAAGGAAAAAGGGAGGAGAACCTGGACATTCTTTTAAGGACATGCAGTTAAAAAAAAAAAAAAAAAAAAAGTGCCTTACTTCAAGAAGAGATGAAATACAGCAGAGAACCAAAATGTCATCCCTCGGTTTTGATGTTCCAATCTGGCTTCTTTAAAGCCGAGACAACGTTCTAGAAAGCAAGGCTCTCAGGTCTTATTGTGAGGAAACGGATTAGTAGGTTTCAATGAGCCAAAGCTTAAATGATTCAGCACTATATTTATACTATAAAATTCAGAGCAGAGATAAAACATGAGGTTTTCCCACAGCGAAATGCTGATAAAGCCTTTGGGGAGGAGGGTGGGGCGGGGAGGGGGAGGGAAAAGGAGATGAGCCAGGTGAGAGTCTTACAGAGGCTGAGCATCTTGTAGCTGACATGGGTGGATGCCAAACCTGCTCTCTACCTACCCACCCACCAGCTACGATTAAGACACCAGAAGAGAACGGCAATGAACACACCCACAGCAGAATGCAAATGCTTTGTTTCCAAAGCATAGCCAGGGAACACCGCAAACTCAGGAAAATCCCTTACTCGGCACAGGCATGGCACCAAAGCAACACGGCACAGGGGTCAGCACAATGGCTGGGGAACACTCCGGGCAGATGAGCCGTGGGAAGCTTCCTAGAATGCCACACAGTCCATGTTCTACACAGCAAGCAGCCATGAGTCCTTGGTCACCCTCTAAGGAAAACCAGAGAAGTCTCAGGGGACCTATGGCCTGAAGAGCACCGGGGTGGGAGCACGGGGTGTAGACTCTGGACCTCTAGACCGGAGGGTTAGCCAGGTTCAACTATATCAACCCCAAACACTGCACGTGAGGCCCAAGGGCTAGACCTCATTGCTATACCTCACTGGAAGCCAGCAAGAACCAGAGAAGACGCAAGAAACAAGACGTCCTTCCCCCAGTGCCAGGATAAACTCTAAGTCACACAGGAACTTACATCATCTCTAGAGAGAATCAAAGAAGGGGCCAGAAAGATAATCTCCGAATTTCACTGAATACACTGCAAGTAAGTAAACTAACTTGACGTGGCAAAAGTAACACTTCTAGCCAACTGAGCAAACAGCGGCTTGAGCTAAGTTAGGCTCAGTAATAGAAAGCTGAATACTCATTTCTGTACACCCAAGTTATAACAATAAAGTTTGAAACCCACTACATTGTCTTATCAGTGATATATTTCCATTTAAAGAGATCCACTGAGACTTCTGGGAAACTCACTGCCTATTTCTTCTAAGACACTTTCAAGTTAACAAAACATGCACTCAGTGCTAGGTACAGAGGTCAACAATGGCCACAGTGGAACAAACCTAGAAATGTACAAATCCGACCCACAGCAAGAGATATGAATGGGTTTTGGTAGTTGTTAGAAGTGTGAACAGTCATTTGTCTTTCCAGAAGGAGTTTGCATGAAACAGAAGAATGATAAAGTGATTATGCTTGGTCCCTCTTTCTTCAAAGGTGCCCTTCATCGCTCTCACAGCACACGTAGAGGGAAATGCCTGAAGGGAACGGGGTACCCATCAGTTGCTGCAGGGCAGGCTGCTCCCCTAAGCAACGTGTGCCTCTGTAGGCAGCTCCTCCACAAGCAGCATTTTGCCACTGAAACACTGCTCATTTCCCCGCAGGGTATGCCAATGCTGTGTGTGCTGGCAGCAGCCAAGTGCTAACTCATCAGAACATGTGGCATGAACATCAACGTGGCTTTATCAGTCACTCTACGCTTGGACTAATCAAAGGGCAGCCAACAAAGGAGAGCTGAGGACACTGGTTTGATTCAGCAGGTCACTGTCTGATTAAACCAGGCCCAGGGAGTTGTAGCAGTTGGCTCCCCTGTTCCCCAACGGCTTTCCTTTGGAGAGGAAGGGGAACAAAAGATCATTTTTGATTACTCCGAAATGCACTTGCTCCCATGGGGTTTGTTAATGATCATTTGATTGCTCTCTCTTGCTAGGCCACTGTCAGGTACTTTCCAGAAATAAATATATAGAGCATCCAGGAAGCCCCTAACTTGCAAATCTGGGAAATACTCGAAGTGATTCCTTTCCAGAAAACAAATGAATTTTCATTGTTTTGGAAAGCCAGATATATAGCCTGTTACCACTGTTTTCGTGAATCTAGGCATGCACAGCTTCAATTGATGGGTGTGCGTCTTAGGAATCTCATTCTTTGTACAGGTCGGAACTGAGAACACAGACTCAGAAGCCGACTGCCTGGTTCAGAACCTGTTTCCACTGCTTCCTAAATGTGAACACTTAGGGAGATTGCCTCGCCTGTGCCTTAGCTTCTCATCTGTACAACTGGAATAACGGCTTACCTGTCTCATAGGGTTGTAGTGAGAATTAAAGGAGTGATTGTTAGAGTGTTTACAACAGTATCTGGTATATAATAGTGCCACAGAAGTGTTAACTGCTACTTATCATTGTTATTTTTGCAGTCTCAAAAAACTCTGATCATGAAAAGTTTCCAGTTTCCCAATCCTCTTCCCTAAATGTAAGCCTTCAAAACCGAAACCCCTCTTAACCCTCAGGGTCTTCTCTAGTCCGTAAGACGTCAGCGGTTCCCGGCAGAGCAGGACTCACGCTGGCCGGCCCTGCTGGTCCCTGGCCCTCAGGGTCCGCCACTCTCCAGGACCTTACACCTGAAAGGGACTTTCCTCCCTCCGCAGCACTGCGCTTCCAGACCTTTCTTCACTTGCTTGGGCCCCCACACTCACCGCAGCTTGGTAGTAAGAGATTCGTTTTTTGCAGGGTCATCTTCTTAAAGACCTGATTAGCCTGAAACAGTCAGCCACAGTCAAAGAGTGTGATCTTTAAGGCTGAGTCCTGTATCTAATCAAAAATAAATAAATCTTCCCATTTGGACTGTGAGTCAGGCCTGTGGTCAAGCTGGCAGAACCTCTTACCAGATATAAGGCACCATGTATAGACTGTTCTAGTAGCACTGAACTCACTGGTAAACACAGATTTTTATTTAGAAATAGCTGTCCCCTAAGCCAAAGTTTTAAATAAATAACTTAAACTAAACTTAATAGAACGAGTCAGAATTCTGAGCATCAGAGTATAGACCACTAGATAGAAACCTAAAGTATCTGGTCCTCTTTTTTGACCTAGCAAACTTCAATTTAAAAAGCCAGACAGACTATTAGCTGCTGGACAAGTCACCATTTCTATGACCACCCTATTCCTAACAGAAAAACCTACCTCTCCTGCAGTCTTAAATAAAACTATTTCGAAACAAGAGCATAATTTAGAATTTAGGGCTGCTAAGTGGGAAGCCATTCATTTGGGGTTTTTATCAGGTTCTCTCTGCATTCTTCAGAATAAATTTTAATCTAACACTTTCCAAGTAACATATTCCCCTTTCAAATGACTCTTAGGTTAAACACTAATTAACCTTTTTCTCTTTAAATCTGGCAATGATGCAGACCTTGTTGCCTTATTTTAAGTTTAGAGCAGTCTTATAACCCTCTTAAATTAATTACACATTCTCCAAAACGCCTCCCAGTTCTTTGTGATCTAGTCGAAACTAACGAATGCTTAAACTTCGCCCAAGGGGCCCTAAATGAAAACTGTGAGGCAGAAATATAGTGTTAATCAGAGACCTAACTAAATAGGATTACCAGAAAAAAAAGTGGGTTTTCAGAGTTAACAAAATCCTGCACCCTTGGAAGAGAGCATCACATGAACCTATCAGAAATCCTTGCTCTCCTCACTGATTTAGAGACCTTGAGCTGCTACTGAATGTGTGAGTGTACATTTTTCCAGTAGTAAATAGTGGAAATTATAATCAGGGTCTCCATCTCCAAGAACAGTGTAGTCTAGCCATGTGCCACACAAAGAAACAGAAAAATTGGGTTACAACAATCCATCTGTGCTTAAATTTTAACATTCAGGACATAATACAACACGGCTAGAGTTTCACCTCATATCAAGGCCAAATTAGAATCTTGTTCTCAAAATCTTTTGGTAGTGGACTGTAAACAATTTAAGCAAACCATCTGTTCAAAGAGCATTCTACTATAAACTCCTCTCCATAAACAACTCTTTTTTTCTTTTTTTTCTGTAGCTCAACGTTACCAGAAAATCTCCAATCTTTTCTGTCTTTTCTCATTCATTGGGCCAAGTGAAACAGAGGTTGGAGGCACAACCTCCTCAAATTTGAACAAATACTTAAATGGAAAGCTTCGGATCATTAAAATGTTCCCAGTTGATTACTTTTATTGTTCACTTTTTCAGTCGTCATGGAATGATAAGTACCAAAGCAATAGAAAGCCTAAAATAACTGGTAAATCACTGGACAATTGAAAGACTGGAACATGATGTTAAATAGAAACCACTGGCGCTAACGGCTGGCACAAGAATTCTGTCCAATATTACACACCGAACGTAGAATTATCTGTTCTGCAGAGTTCCAACTTTTCTCTCCGTCTTTGCCCACTGTAGCTAAAATTAATTCCCTCAGTCTTTCAGCCCATGGTCTTCCAACTTGCTTGCAAGCTGCTCCTTCTGTCATCATTTCTTATATCAGAAACCAGAAATGTTGTCATGTCCTGGAGAGTTTTCAAGCCTCGTTGTTTTATTCAGCTGGTGACATGGCGAGAGAGTTTAGGACAATATGAATGGTTATTTTCCAAAATACATATGTAAGCCTTAAATAAGTCTAATGATTAGAAAATCATTAGCTCATAAACAGTTTCTTGTTAGTAACTAAAACAGTTGTGCTCCAAGCTTATTATACAAGGAGTGATTGTTAAAACGCAGAACTGTGGGCCGTGATCTACCGAATCTGAATTGTTACACTTGGAAGTGGGGAGCTATATTTTGAACCAGCACCTCGGTTGATTCCGAAGTAGCCGATTGTCAGATACGTACACACCACAACTAGATTATGAATGGAGGTGAGGGTAAAAACAAATAGGCCATAAATCTGTGATAGTGCAGGAAGACCCAGGAACGTGGCTTGACTGCTGACTAGCATTCATGACTACTTCCTTAGGTTAAGCAATATCGTCTTCCTCAGCCTCAGTTTCCTGATCTGAAGACTGAAAATATTCATATAGTACTTACCTTACAGCACTGTTATTGCAAGGATGTGTGAGTGTACATTTCTCTAGTAGCTCAATAGGGAAAATTATATTCAGGGTCTCCATCTCACAAGAACAGTGCCGAAATCACCCAGTAAGAGAGAACTGCCATGGATCAGCTGCCCTGGCACTGATCACCCCTCACTGCAGGCCAGAACAAAAAATCTTTGCTTCAAGAACTGTCATATTTATCCCTAGGTCTCTCACATGTGTGCCAAAGACAACTGTGTCCAAAATGGGTGGCAATAGTGGTCCAAAATGCAAATTCTGAAGTTAAACCACCTGAATTTAAGTGCCAATTCCACCACTTATTTGAGCAAATTAATGAACATTTTATGTGCCTTGGTTTCCTTCTCTGGAAAATGAGCATGAGTACCTGTCTCAGGCACAATGGTTAGCAGTGTTCTAGTCAACGCTCAAGCGTTTTGCTCTTATT